GTCCTTTCACGCTATGTTCTGATTTCACTTTAACAGCCATGGCTGAATCCTAACAAGTTCTGAAATTGTCAGTTTAAGAAGGGGCATTTAGAATTCTCGGCCAGAGAGCTCTAGTGCATCACCAAACTACAACTCCCAGGATTCTATAGGATATAGCCATAGCAGGTAAAGTGGAATCACTGTGCTATAACTGCGTAGTGTGAAAGGGCTGTTGGTTACAAAAGTGGTTTGGACTATCTTCAGTCAAAGTGTCTGCAACTGATATGTGAAATGGGCTGAGTCTGGGAAAGTTTTTGTTTATTTGTGTTTCTTAGGGAAGAAACAGACCGGCATAAAAAGCCAGCTTCCTGGAAGCTTGGGGATGTGGTGTATGTATGATGCTTGCCCAAAAAACACCCGGAAGCTGGCTTCATGCCACCCGGCTACCCACAAGTGGACCAGATTCCAGGTGCTACGGTGGCACAGTGTTTACACGCTACACATGCACCATAAAGCCCCAAGTGAAGATAACAGTGGTAAACATTTTGATAAAACAGAAATAAGATTGGTTATATTTTTTGCAGAAAAAGTCTAAAAGCAAACTCACGAGAACATATGTTTTCTACTATCATAGTCTCCATTGTACACTCCTGTAACAGGGGATGTTTAGTTGTTTTTTCCCCTTCATTCTTTGTCATATTGTGTCATTATTATTGATTCCCCCCCCCCCATTAATTTTAAACCCAGCAAATTGTCCATATTTTTCATAATTTCTATTAGTTTAGTCACCTTCACTATTGGGTCTTTAAGAAATATCATCATGTCATCAGCATATGCTCTTGTCTTAAATTCTGTACCTTTAACACATATGCCTTCCACTTTTTTTCCATTCTTATTTTTTCAAAAAGAGTTTCTAAACAAAGTATGAACAACAAGTGATAATGGAAAACCCTGTCTCGTTCCTTTGGATATTTCACAACTACCTGTTCTTTCTCCATTCACTATAATTTGAGCATTCTGTTTTTTATAAATCTTTTGTATTCATCCAATGAAATTCTCTCCCATCTCAATATTTCTCATTAGTTCTATCATATATTCCCAGTTTAACATATCAAAAGCCTTTTCTGCATCCACACATATCATGGCTAATTTTTCTCCTGGATTCTTATCACAGTATTCAATTATATTAATGGCTCTTCTTATGTTCTGCTTTATTTGCCTGTTTGGGAGGAAACCATAATGATCCTCGCGAATTATTTCCATTAACACTTTTCTTAATCTTTTGGCAAGAATTGCAGCAAATATTTTGTAGTCTATACTGAGAAGGGAAATTGGTCTGTAGTTTTGTGGATAGGTAAGATCTTTATCTTCTTTTGGAATTAAAGCAATGTTAGCTTGGGACCATGTTTCTGGTATGCCTTCATTTTTATTTCCTTTAAAGTCAGCTGGAATGGCGCTAAAAGTTAATCTTCAAAAGTCTTATAATATAAGGCCATAAAACCGTTTGATCCAGGCGCTTTCCCATTTTTGGCTTCCTTTATACCTTCTACTATTTCCATAATTTTAATTTCTTGATTTAGTAGATCTCTCTGTTCTTTTTTTTAATAACAGGTAACTTTTGTTTCTGAATATATTTGTTTAATTTTATATTAAAGTCTTTGTCCTCATTCTTTTTTTAAAAGATGTTACTAAAATATTTTTCAAATATGTTTAAGATGTCTTTTTGATCTTTTAATGACCTTGTCCCCTTTCATTTCCAAAATCATCCTTTTCTCTTTTTGTTTCTTAATTTATATGTTAGCATCTTGCACATTTTATTTCCAAATTCAAAGTGTTTTTGTTTCATAAATTTCAGTTTCCTTTCAATTTCTTCCATAGTTATTTCCAATAATTGTTTCTGTAGTAGTTTTATCTCTTTGTTGATTTTTTGTTTGTCAGATTTCTCCAGAAATTCTTTTTCTTTGTTCTTGATCTGCAATGTTACTTCTTGTATTTTTAAAGCTTTCTTTTTTTCTTAACCCACTGTTCTTTTTAATGAAAAAACCTCTCATTATGGCCTTACTGGCATCCCAAACAGACTTCGTTTTAATTTCATTGTCCATATTTTCTTGAAAATATAATTTGTTTCTTAGCCTCCAATATTGTCTGTTGATCCTTTAATAAGTATTCATGGATTCTCCAGGAGAAATTCATCCTCGTTTTTTTAAATTCTAACATTATCGGATTGTAGTCTGAGATCTTCCTTGGAAGAATATCAACTTTTTAAATGTTTTAATATTAAAATAACCTTTTGATATTAAAAACCAATCAATTCTTAAATGGGATTTATATGGTTCTGAATAAAAAGTGAAATCTTTGATATTTCAATTTTTGTGTTTCCAAGGGTCCATTAATGCAAGATTTCCCACCATATGGAAAAACACTGATAGTAGTTTTCCCTGATTTTATTTATTTTTCTGGTCAGGGCTTTTCTACCCAACAAGAGGTCCATGGCCTCATTCCAATCCCCTATAAATACAAAATGTTCATATTCTAAGTCAAGAATTGTTTGTGTTAGTTTTTTATAGAAATGTGACTCCTGTAGATAGGGGGGCATTTAGTCAAGATGACACTACAAACTCATTCAATGTAATTTTATTCCCCACATCTGGATGAGGATTAAGGTTAAAGTTCCCCCCTCCCCTGAAGCACACCTACTTTTTCCCATTCCTTCCAGGAAAACTACAGTAGTTGCCAAGATGGTTAGTTCTTTAGAGGCAACTGCCTTAAAAGTAATCCTCATGGAAGTTGATTCTACTGTTTTCAAAGTCACTGTGTTTAGGAATTCAAGTGTTAACATTTAATTATATATTTGTAAATGACATACCTGTTTCAATACCTCTATTAATACTAAAGAAAAAATAAAATCAATAGCAAGATCTCTTCTTTCCATTAAAAAGTCACGTTGCTGTTCATCACTGAAAGATAAAAAAAAAAAGGTATTCAAATTTCCCCATTCATCTATACTTTTTATTTCTACAAACACATGATGGCTAGGACAAAAATAATCCCAACAAATTAATTGGTTATTGCTACTGGGATATGTTGCTGTCCCTGCCAATTACATATTGGGTCAAAAATATCCCATGTTGTTTTTCAATTACAGTTGCCCCTCCTTTTTCGCAGGGGATCCATTCTGGAACACCACCATCCCCATGAGAAAGGAAAACCACAAATATTCAAGCCTTATTGGCGTGAATGGAGGTGTGTGTCCATGGGGGCGAGCAGGCGCACGCCACAGGCGCGTGCCCCATTTTGTGCCCCTCTGTTCAACCCTCGCAGATAAGCGAAGGGCGCAGACTTCAAATCCGTGAAAACAGAGGGACAACTGTATTCACAATACTGGCTGGACAACTCTTGGAGTTATAGTCTTAAAAATTAACTTTTCCAAGCTCTGTATAAACAGGACTTATATGGAAACATAAGATTTAGCTATTAATATTTAACATGCACTTAGGAACATACCTTTTGGATTTAGTGCTTGTTCTTGGTCTGTATTCATGAGATTCATCTTCGATGCCATTTTGTCTTTTGTACCAGTCAAACAAAGTGCGCAGGATGGAAGGTAGACAGTATTCTGAAAGTGAGCTCATTGAGCTTATTACCTGCAAAAGGCACACCAATATTAAAAAGTATTTCAGCACTGTGTGTTAAAGAATCTGCCATAGCCTTTTATAATCATTCAGTTAGCTCTTAAATCTGACTTCAAGTTCTGTTCTCACCAGGTATTTTCTTCCTTGAGGGTAGCAAAGAAAGGAGTCTGATTTACTTTTTTATTTATTGAAAATTCTCTTCAGCAGTATTTCAGAGGAAGGCAATGGTAATCTACCTCTGAGTATTATTTGCCAAAGAAACCCCTATAAAATCCATAAGCCTCAATAAGTCAGCAGGTGATTTGAAAACATATACATATAACACACATGTCAAAGCTCTCTCAAGGCAACAAAAGGAAACATAACTCCAAATTCTTTAGAGTATAATCCAGTTGCAATGCTTCCAGTCCATGTTATGCCTTTTCTATCCACATGTCATCTAGTAGCAACATGTGCATTTCATCAATGTCATCATCATCATCATCATCAAAACAGCACCATCATTATTTATTCAAGATTCTTTACACAATAAAGTCAGGTCCTTACCCAAAGGAGCTTATAATGTAAATGCTTTGGAAATTCATACTGAAGAGCAGAACATGCATTTACTCTGCACAAAAATTTATAAAATATGCATAATATTACTTATATAATAAATATAATAAAATAAAATTTTAACAATCAACACAAAAGAGACAAAGGCATTAGAAGAGGGAAATTAAACCAAGTAAACAAGGTAAAGTAAATATGCATTTATTTATTATTTATTTAAGGTCAGCTATAGCAGCGTATGACTGTTATTGTAAGTTGAGCAGAGTAGATAAATCTCTGTGGAAACGTCCACTGCTGAAGCCTTCCTCCACTGCGAGTTGATCTCCATGCCGGTTATCTCTGGTGCTGACCATACCACCTAGGAATGCAGCCTTCCCATTAAATAGACCGGAGGCAGAAGATAACTCTAAAGAGGCACATTTTATTCTCCAGTTGCAGTAAATACAAAGTAACTATTTACAAGTAGATCAAAACATCAGCAGGCAGGAACAAAAGAAAACATAAGAGCTAACCAGCAGAAGAAAGAAAAACTCCACGCCCAAGCTGAGGGCTTAATTCATTTGTGGACACTTGCTAAACAGCCTCAAAGTCCAGCCTCTCCTTGTGACTCATAGTCACATGGACAATGGTTCTTACAAAACATGATGATCTAATATGTTTACAACTTGCCTTCTGTGTTCCCACACACACACTGTCCTTGACTATCTTCTCTTGTGATTGTTTCCGTATTCCAGCTCCAAAAACTTTCCCAGCTAGCAACAGACGTGACTTGTAGTTCCCACATTGTCATTTCCCACATCTATACATTTTCACACAAGTTAGATTTTCCAACAATAACCCAGTGTGGCGTAATGGTATCAGTGTTGGATTACAACTCTGGAAACCAGGGTTCGATTCCCAGCTTGGCCATGAAACCCACTGGGTGATCTTGGCAAGTCAAAAGCAAACTTCCTCTGAACAAATCTTGCCAAGAAAACCCCATGATAGATTTGCCTTAGGGTCATCATAAGTAAGAAATTTAGAGATATGCTTTTCTTTCAGGAAGGAAGGAACATTTGGAGATTCAGTTATGGATCTTTTGCTTTCTGAAAAACTAGAAGTAACTTGCAGCTTGTTTTGAAAAAGGTCCCTCCTGGGCTTAAAACATCACTAAGGGGACAAAGATATGGCAAAAGTACCCCAACATAAAGTCAATTTGAGTAGCACCTGTATGGATGTGCGTGAGGATGGTGTGGACTATGTCGATCCCTGGACCTCAGGTATTTACCCACTCCTGCTACAAGGTTTCTTCCTCCAGACACATGGAAGTAGTTATGGACTGGATTCTGGAATTTCCTTTCTGCCATAGGACTCAGTCCCCAACACATTCTCTTGCTCTGAAATTATCTAAACATTCCCTTTCTCTCTAAACTACTTTAGCAAGAGCTTGCAGCCAAACAATGCAGGTTGCCTGGCGACTGTTTCTGTGTACATTTATTCTTGTGAAGGTCTGTGCTACTTGAATGTGATAAAGGATGGCAAGTGTATATGTTTTTTAAAAAAGTGATAGCGACAAAATGGACTTCTGAGCATTTGTTTATTCATCAGTGCTGCACCTTTTAGAGAGCCAGTGTGGTGCAATAGTTTGAGTATTGGACTAGGACACTGGGAGACAAGAGTTTCAATCTGTACTTGGCCATGAAAACCCACTGGGTGACCTTGGGCAAGTCTCAGCATCAGAAGAAGGCACAGGCGAACCCTCTCTAAATAAATTCTGCCATGAAAATCTTGTGATAGGGTTGCCTAAGGGTTTGCCATAAGTGAGAAATGACTTGGAGGCACACAACAACAACTGAACATTTTCACTGACAATGCAATCCCAGTGGTATTTTACCAGTAAGATTTTGTTATGGATTTATTTAACCTTCACTTTGCACACTATTCTTCATCAAGGCAGCTGTACGCCTCTCAGGATGAGTTTGCTAAGCAAGGCATGTGTAACTCACTGGGAAGAGGCCAGCACATGCCACTCCACCTACTGATTCCCAAATTACTGAGCAATGTGCCAAAGGTAATGCAAACTAAATACACATAAGCTTTGTGTCCTCTGTTATATTTACACAGGGTGTCTTTAGCTTTTTAAATCTTTCTGTCATTGGTCTTATATGGCAGGAAGGAAGGGTGGAATTTGTAGAGACTGGCTCTCGGAATACAGGAAGGGAGGAAAGTCTAGTCAGCAAGCTGGTTACTCAACTCCTCCATTTATTGGAATCAAAGTCAGTGGTGAGATGAATTCTAGCTCTGTGTTGCTGCTGGAGGGGAATTGCAGATGTACAAATGTGTCCTTGTTGCACAAAAATGATCATGTTCTTCCATCCAAAATGAACTTCATAGCATACAGCCTGAACATACCAGGTCCACACAAGCACTGAGCTGTTTAAACACCCTGCTCATAGGGCATTTAAAGGGGTCTATACAAATGCATTATTTATAGCTATTTTGGCAGAAATCGCAAAAAAACAAGTAAGCCATGCCTGAAGCTTCTTTTTTAATATTCAAAATACTAAAAAGCGGTCAATTAAAGAGTCAAAATAGAAATTAAGCCACACGGCAATATAACCAATAAACCAATCTGCATACCAAATGCAGAATTAGACACGAAAATATCAGCCATTATTGTTTATTCACACATTTACACCATTCACACACTATGGTGGGGAGGTATGGTGATTGGCATCTAGTGTTCACGTAAAATGGGGTGCAAGGGGGAAATGGCTTCCACCTCACCTCCATGCATTCAAGTGCCTTAGAGGCTGTGCATAAGGGTCAGGAAAGCCTGGCCAAGCCCATATTTTTCTGTCCCAGGGATCGGTCCCTGGGCTGGCGCAGGGATGGGCAGGTGTCTGCCCATCCCTGCGCCACAGATCCAGTAATGCTGCATTCCGCTTACCTTCAGCTGTTGTTGCTGCACATGATTAGACCCCCACTGCTGCATCTGACGTAGAAATGGGGTGCCTGGCTGAAATCACATGGCCAGGTGCTCCATTTACACATCGGACATGGCAACAAAGTCTGCTCAGGTGCAACAACAACAGAATGAAGTAAGGGGCGTGCAGGGCTGTCTGGTCAGCCAGGGTTTGCTGCGGAGTTTTCAAGAAATTCCACAACAAACTGTGGGTCAATCTGACCCATGCTAAGTCCCTTATACCCTATCCATGTCTGATCTGGCAGGAATGGGCTCAATCCTGCCCCCGGGGTTTTGGCCTGGGTTATCTAAATAGAACAATGCAAGGCCAAGGGAATCCAATCCTTTTGGCCTATGCAGATAACCCCTTAGACACTTTGCTCCCAGGTCAGTTTACTTCCAGTATTTAAGCTGGGGAGGGGGGGAAGAAAAGTGTCAGAGTACATAAACATAACTTGGAAAAATTACTTTTCACACTACTGCTCTTAGAATCTCACATCTGGCTGGGGGTCTATAGAAGCTGTAGTCCAAAGTGAGCATTCCAAATACACACTTTTCCCCTATAAAAATTAGACTATTTTCCAATTAGACCATATCCCATACCGCAGATGGAGCACAAACAAATAAATGTAGCTGTCGGACCCCAGATTTTCCATTTCTGTGTGATTGTTGTTGCTGTTGCTCACTTGATTTATCCCCCCCAAACAGGGACTCAAGGCAACTTACAAACAAACACACTATAGTTAAAACGTACAAATGACGAGCATCAAAATAGAATTAAAATATCAATAATATTATAAACAGTTTAAAACATGTAATTAAAATAATGAAAAGTCATTTCAAAAATAGTTTAACTTACTCAGTTAAAACACTACAGCCTCTTATTTTAAAAATTCTTTATGAAGAACAGTCCCTGTACACAAAGTGCTCTGGTGTGCTCATGGCTCCTCCATGTGCACAAAGGCTTCTCCACTCATTGCTGTGTTAAGAATGCTTCCTCATACACATACCACATTCCCCACTGGACCCTTGACATTTAAGAGGGTAAGTAACTCATGGGATCTATGTGTGCACACTAAACCTGCTATTTAACATAACTACCAAAATGAACTTTCTGTGGATTGATTGTTCCTGTGAACAAAGTGAGCCTTAGGGTCTTTCTTTCTTTCTTTCTTTCTTTCTTTCTTTCTCATTCACATATAAAGTAAAAGGTAGGCATCTGATTTTCATGGGAAAGGAAGCACAGTGGTAAAAGAAGCTAAGGCTTCCTATCTTCTCCTATACCATACTTCCTTACCCATTTTCATCTTACTCTTTCTCTCAATCTGCACTATAGAAATAATGCAGCTTAATACCACTTTAAGTGCTGTAGCCCCATCCTATGGAATCCTGGGATTTGTAGTTTTACAAGGTCTTTAGCCTTCTCTGCCAAGGCATGCTGGTGCCTCACAAAACTACAAATCCCAGGATTATCTAGGATGGATCTATGGCAGTTAAAGTGATGTCAAGTATAGCTGCACCCCTTGCCTGCACCAGGCCATAGTAGACAAGTCAAAATAGTACTTCTGCAAACCTTTAGAGTGCATCTAATGAACACCCACTGCAGCATACTGTATTTCTATTTAAATTATGTAAATAAACAGGGCTGGGAGATAACTGCTGAAGCAAAGAAGCACAGGGATATAAGTCAAGAGATTTAGCTTCACAGATATACCCCCCTTTGATGTCAAGCTGCATCTTCTTGTCTGCCCCATACCTGTCCCACACTCCCGAACAGGGTGGACAGGTGAATGTAGACAGGTGGGGGGCAGAAAAGAAGATTCCGCTATTTCCCTCATATCCAGTTGGATCTTGCAGAATAACACCACTACCTGTTGATAATTTTTCCTACAATGTCAGTCTCTCCTGAGAGCACAGACTCCCCTATACTATCAGATAGCTATCATTTTATGTCAAAGATTATGGGAAGATTAACACTTGATTATATGTAACATATATTAGTATGATGTCATAGCACAACTGGAAGATGTTAAAAAAATATGCAGCAGTTTGCAATACAGAGTTGGCTCATCAGATGCTACTCTGTCCTAAAAACATAGGAATGATTAGTGAAAGTTTGAACTAGACTACTAGAAAAATTATTCTAACAAATAAATCTAAGAAATCTATTTTTTTTAACTTTCAACTGTTACTTTTTTTTCTTTTTTCTTTTGGATTAATTTAGCCTTGTTTTGGTATTTTTTTAAAAATTTCTTCATACACTTAGGAAAACACATATTTATTTTATTTCAGTCAGGAACTGGCTTGGGTCCTGGCACAGGTCCACAGATCACCACTTTGAGTAGTACTGCACTAGATGATCTCCTACAATGAATAGAAATCTGCCCGGAATAATTATTTTAACCCCTGAAAGACAGAACAAACCACAGGTATTAGCCTGTGCCACTACCTCAGAGGAGGCAGCCACACAATGTAGGCCTGATGCAGAAGTGATAGTCTTGAAACTGCAGTATAAACTGGAAGGCCACAGCTTCGCTGTAATAGAAAGTTGCACTGGAAATGACTACCTGAAACCTATATGGTCATGTAAGAAGATCTGTGATAGACTAATTGTTTACGAGTGCCCAGTACATAGCCTCTGGAAGAGGAAAGATGAAGCCAATGCAACAGATTGAGTGTACAAGAGACATTTCCCACAAAGCTCTGAGCAAGTGTATCTTAAACTAAAATTCAAACATTAGTCAATGTGCCATTACATTTCTTTTTCTTGACAAGTTCTTGTCCTGTCTACATGCTTGAATTCTATCAAGCACATTATTATTTCTTGTCATTGAATAATATTACTACTACTACTACTGAATAAAGTTCTCCATGCTGCCAAACACATCCTAGGTTCATTTCTGCAACTGTTGACACTATTTTACACTAAAACCTGTGTTCATACATTGCTTTAATGATAGCTAGA